TCACTATTTTAACATTCAGTACACAATGGTTTTTATTTTGTTCTTCCTAGTTACCATCAGAAGAAGAAGAGCTTAGCACTCCTCCATCATCAAGTAATGAAGGTTCAGGGGGAGGAAGTGATGAAGAAGATGATGACGATGATGATGAATAAGTCTTCTCGCTGTTATCACTATAAAGAGATAATTCATAAACCATTCTATGGATCTGTGGAATTCTATTTTTTGTTTCTTGATGTTTAAATAAAATGTATGAAATATAAAATAAAATGCTGTGGGCAAACCATTTCATAATGTACACTCGCAGAACTGGTTACATCCATATCCGACGCAGAACTGGTTACACCCATATCCCATGCAGAACTGGTTACAGAACTGGTTACACACATATCCCACGCAGAATTGGTTACACCCATAACCCACACAAAACTGGTTACACCCACATCTCACACAGAACTGGTTACACCCATATCCCATGCAGAACTGGTTGCACCCATATCCCATGCAGAACTGGTTGCACCCATATCCCATGCAGAACTGGTTACACCCATATCCCACGCAGACTGGTTACAGAACTGGTTACACCCATATCCCACGCAGAACTGGTTACACCCATATCCCACGCAGAACTGGTTACACCCATATCCCACGCAGAACTGGTTACACCCATATCCCACGCAGAACTGGTTACACCCATATCCCACGCAGAACTGGTTACACCCATATCCCACGCAGAACTGGTTACACCCATATCCCACGCAGAACTGGTTACACCCATATCCCACGCAGAACTGGTTGCACCCATATCCCACGCAGAACTGGTTGCACCCATATCCCACGCAGAACTGGTTGCACCCATATCCCACGCAGAACTGGTTGCACCCATATCCCACGCAGAACTGGTTGCACCCATATCCCACGCAGAACTGGTTGCACCCATATCCCACGCAGAACTGGTTGCACCCATATCCCACGCAGAACTGGTTGCACCCATATCCCACACAGAACTGGTTGCACCCATATCCCACACAGAACTGGTTGCACCCATAAGGGTTCTCCCCAGCAGACAGAGAGTGCTGGACGGTATGAATATTCACTCATTAATATGCATGAACTAATTAATATTCAAAATGGCCACATACTGGCAAGAAGACAGGTCATATGTATTGATATTTATTAT